GGGGGGGGTGGGGGGGGGGGGGGGGGGGGGGGGGGGGGGGGGGGGAACACAAATTTTGAGTTGTGTGTTGCTTGTACTGTACTGACAATTTTTGAGCGGGGGTGAGGTGGGGACAAAGCCATCTGTGCTGCACAGTTTTTGTACCAACAGTTTGAGAGCGGGGCGCTCAGCATGAGGGAAATGCCAGCGCTTGTTTATTATTACATTATGTATTATTATATATTACGCTAATGAGTTTATGGATTCTTACAAATACCGGTACTTGGGAATTTTAACTGATGCACATCTCTCTTTTAAACGACATGTCAAAAACTTGGTAAAGAAACTGAAATTAAAACGGAGTTTCTTTTTCAGAAATAGATCTTGCAACTCTGAATGCCAAAAAACATCTTGTACCTGCTCCCATTTTATTGTTGTTTACTGGGGAAGCACAGTGGCACGGATGGTAGATCTGTTGCCTCTCAGCAAGTAGGTTGCCCCTGGTTCAAATCTTGGCGGGGGGCCTTTCTGGATAGAGTTCGTATGCTCTCTCTGTGCATGTGTGGGTTTACTCCGGGTACTCGTTTCCTCCCACAGGCAAAAAACATGCATTTTTGTGTAGTAATATGGCCTTTTGTGTTATTTGCATGTTTGATTATTTAACTTTGCTGATTATTTTTTGTGCATTTGTTTAGAGGCTGGGATTGCCACCCGTGATATGGCCAGAGACACTGACAGCTCATGCAGGTGTTCCCCATCAGCCGTAATGGCATGAAAGCCAGGAAAGAGGAAATACAAAGAGCAAAAAAACAAGCAGGACAGAATGGCAGACGCATGCAGCCACCGCTGAGGGGCGGGAGGTGCGGCGGTTGGGGAGCGCAATGGCCGGATGCGCAATCACCGCCGAGGGGCAACAGCTGGGGACAAGCCGGTCAGCAGGTTTTGCAGAAACTGAAGGTGTGGTGACTAAGGGCAGAGACAAGTGGGGGTAAGGACGCCCACAAGAAACCAGCTAAGCTGGTCGGGCACGGTGGATCATGCCCGGTTGGAGGGTGCAGTCGTCCGGGTCTGGTGTTGAGGGCGGAGGACTGAGCTTTTGAGATCGCTGGAGGTCGAGGTTGCCATAGGATACCGGACTCAGGGAAGTACAAGCGCCGGGTGAGGTCGAGATCGTGGAGGGATGCTGGACTCGGGAAGGAGTGCCGGGTGATCACTGAAGGTCGAGACTCGAGACTGCCTGGGAATGCCATGCTTGGGCAAGAGGACCACGCCCCTTTCAGCTAAGACTCTGCTTCTTTTTCCCTCAGACGGTTATGGGCCATGATGCCCTTTTAATCCTCTTTAAACAGAATTTGGCAGGTTTTTTTTATATTTGGACTGCTTGCAGCATTTTTTCCCGTTTTGATTGTAATAAATTATTGTAAACCTCTACTGGCTGGTTTGTGAAACACCACTCACCCTTTACCTAATTTTATTCCTAGTTTAACTAGGTGGTCTTGCTGATTAGTTTAATAAATTTTCTGTCTGACTAAAATTAAAAATAGCACCACTCAGCAGCCGACATTAGGCTGATTGGCAACTCTAAATTGGCCCTAGGTGTGAGTTTGATTGGTTGTTTGTCTCGTTTGTCTCTATGGTGGACTGGAGACATGTCCAGAGTGTCCCCTGCCTCTTGCACAGTGACTGCTGGATATGGGCACCAGTGACCCCGTGACCCGAAAAGAAGCAAATAAATAGAAAAGGTGGATGTTGCTTATTGTTGTCTATACTTTATACTGTATGCTCAGGTCCCTCTTGTAAATGAGTCCCTTCAATGAGAATAACCTGGATAAATAAATAAACTTTGTTCCATCAGTTTTAAAGGTGTTGTGTGTTACAGTTAAACTTTATTCCCGCGGGGAGTTTAACCCTTTCCTCCCCAGTTTACCTTCAGTCACAGTGACGGTGGCCGCCGCGTTCACCGTCACAGGTAAACTAAGCTCCGCCTCCGTGTCTCCCGCAGGTAGACTGATGATGGTGGCCTCTCCCAGCAGGTTGCAGATCCGCTGCTGCATGGCGGTGAGGATGACCGGGATCGGGGTGCAGTCCGCGGACGTGCCCTCGATGGCCGCCCGGGCCTGGGCCACCTTCCTGCGGACCTCGGTCTTCATGTCGGACCACTTCTTCTTGACCTCGGGCAGTTCTCGGGGACAGGTGGTGACTGCGTTCACCTTCTTCAGGATGGACAGCCACGCGCTGTTCTTCGCCATGTGGGTCACTCCCGCGTTGAAGTGACTCACCAGTGTGTGCTTTTGTTTCTCGATTTCCTCCACGATGATTTCCACCTCCCTCTCGGAGAAATTCATCTTTCTCTTTTTGGCGGCGGATGCCATCGCTGCAGAGAAACCGCCGGTGTTTCTGCGTATTGTACGTAAAAATAGGATTTACTCAACTAAAGTGCGCAACGTAATGGCTTCCAGAATCGGCTTCTTTTTCCTGATTAGCAACGCTTGCGTTAGCAGGGGCGCCAAGCCCCACCTCCCACAAATCCTATTGGCTGATGTCCTGTGATGATTCGTCGTTCTTTGCTCCTATTGGACTAAAAAAATGTCAATCATCTACTGCATTAACCGATAAGTTCTATTTTAGAAAAAACGCTGAAAAGATGTTTTTGTTCCGTTTTTGAAGAATTTGACTATTTTTATTTCCTCTTCAGTTTTAACTTCCAAAACATTATTTTACCAGTGATTTAATTACAAACAAAAATTCAACCTGCTCATCAAATGTCAGTTTTACATATTTCAATGGAGAAATATAAATACTCTTTCCTGTTGCAGAATTCCCAAATGCCACAAAATCTGGACGCAAAATAAAAACATTTTAAATAAATGTAAATATTAAATTTGGTGTTAAAGCATTTTAAATTAATGAAATGTTTTAGGAGCCATCAAACCTGCATGTTCCCATCTTTTGTTTTGTTCATAAATGTTTGTTTAAAAATTGACCCACAAAAAGCACAGATTCCAGCAGTCTCATTTATTGTTTATAATTTCCTAAATTAGGGTTCAAAAGGAGGAAAAGTGCCAAAAAACAACAAATAAGAATTTAGGACTCCAGTATTTTGTGAAATAATTTTGTTTTAAACAAACTGATGGAATCAGAAGAACAAGAGGCAGATGGTAAAGGTTCTGACGGGTCGGACAGATCAGATGAAAGTAAAGTTAAAGGCTGAAACAGATGAGTTGAAATCGTATCATACATTTTAGATTTGGCCCTTCTTACATCTTCAGCTGGAGACAGTCTAGTTTCAAACATTTAGACACATTTTACCTTTAATATTTAATTCTCTTCATCTGCGAAGAGGTTTAACTTTTTACAAAAACCCATTAAATTACATTTTCTGTCCGTCTTGTTAAATTAAGGCTCATTGAATAACATTTAACAGATCACAGGCAACGTTTAATGCTTCAATATTTACACGAGAAGAAATTATTCTGGCACCAAAAACTGCAGGTTTTAGAAGTCACATGACGTAACCTCATTCAGGTGACCTTTGACCCCGCTGACAAACACTGACCAAAGTTCAGACCAGTCTCTCATTTGTAAAACTGAGTGAAACTGGACCAAAACTAACTGGACCCCAGACGTCTGGAACCAGCTGGTTCTGCCTCATCGGGTCGGTGAATGAAGCGTGAAAAACAGGAATCTCTGATTTTCTGACAAAATAGTTAATGAAACGTTTCTTAAATAGTTTTTTTATTTTTACTCTGGCACCTCATAAGGCTTCTCTTGCTGGGGTCCTTTTTTATTATAGCACCCATCACTGGTCCTCCTCCAGAAAACATAGAAACCACTTTGTCCTCTGCTTGACTTTATTTTGAAAAGCTTATGCAGTGGAAACTATGATCCTGGGTGAGCTCAGCTCCACACTGATCCAGCCCGCAGGACGTCTCAGAACCAGAAACTTCATTCCACTGAAGTTTGAACCATGCGGTTCGTTTCAGACCAAACATGGACGAAACCATCTTAAATCTTAAAAAAGGGGCAGCTGAGATGTTTTCCGACAGCTGGACGAGGTTCGGACCGGATCTTTAAACGGTCTTGAGGTCAGAACTGAACCAGGTCTGCTCGGCCTCTGAACTTTCAGTTCTGTGCCGTTTGTGGACGGGCCGTCAAGTACTTGAAGAAACATTAAATAATTACTTGAAGCGTTTTGGCTTCAATCTGAACAGACTCCTGAACAGAACCGACCCATTGGCCCGTTCATTAATTCAGTTTCAGCTCAATTAGGCACTTTGTTTACAGCTGCAGGGATTTAATCCAACGTCGATAATCTGATATTTCAGGTTTGGACCGACCCGCAAGCCAGAGAGAAGCCCGACCGCTGCTCCCTGAGGCCAAACTACAGCATCAGTTCAGGTCAGTTCAGGTCCAAAAACCACCACCTGTACAGAAATAGTCCCCGCCCTGTTGGGTGGATGGCACCAATGGTCCAAATGACCCGACCCGTTTACTCAGAAAACTCTGGGTCCAGGTGCTTGAGGACTCCTCCCACCAGGTGCAGGCTTCCCGTCACCAGAACGTGGATCTCGACCGCTTCACTCAAAGGAGCGGCTTTGGCGACAAAGCTGGGTTTAACAGGCAGAACCGCCTTATCCAGGCTGGTCAGAACTGGATCCCGGCCCTGGGTGACCCACTGGAGGGCACTGAGGATGCAGGGGAACACCAGCGTGTCGGCCTTCCTCTCAGGAACCAGCGGCAGGCCGATGAGCAGCGCCGCCGCCTCCTCCTCATCGTCGTTGTCTCCTCGCTTGTTGTGGAGATGCCAGCTCCTCTCGTTGTCCAGGCAACGGGTCAGCATGTTCTCCACAGACACGTTGAAGTTCTGCTGGTCTGAGGGAGGACCAGAACCACCAGATGAGTTCTGTTTAAACGCGTGAATGATGGCCAGATGTGATCTCACCTGCATTGCAGGAGGCGATGGATTCGGTGATGTTGGGGCAGAAGACGGCAAAGTCAAAATGGAACGGCTGAGGAAACGAGCAGAGAGGTGGTTTGGTACCAACAGGACAGGAGCAGCTATGGTACCTTTAAGTCCTCACCTGCAGCAGTTTGAGCATCACCGCCGAGTCACGCTCTCCTGTGGCGTTAAACAGCAACACCCGGGCCACAGGTCCACTACGACACAAACACCAGCAGTCACATGACAGGTTCTGGTTCTGAATGCTTACAGAACTGGATCTCACCTGGCCTTCTTCTCGTGCTGGGCTGCGGCCTCTCTGAACCACTGGACGCAGGCCTGCATGCTCCTCATGGTGTGAGCTCCATCCAGGAAGTAGGTCACGGCGCCGTGTCTCAGAGTCTGGGTCCTGCCGGGCCACTTGGTGTCCTCCAGCCCTGAGGTCCAGAACAAAAAGTACTGAGAGGTTCCTGCAGGTCAAAGAGGATTTGGACAAAACGGAGGTCCAGGACTCACCTTTCACCATGAAGGATTCAGGTTTGAAGGAGGCCACATGAGACGCACTGAAGTTCTCCGGGTCAGACACAGGAGAACTTTTCTCTGTTTGAGACAGAACCGGTTCCGTCAGAGGTCCGAGCAGATGCTGCACTTCTACAATAAATCTAAGAAAGGCACCTCCTGTAGCAAACCACTTCAAACCCAAGTCTCCGTTAGCAGCACCAAGCTTGGACTGTTTGTCCGAGGTTCACTTTTTACTCTGCGTTTCTGCCTTGTAGGTTTATAGACTGCCTTATGGAGCTCAGATATCCTCTTCAAAATCAAAGTATGATGGAAGAAATCGTGTCACAAAAACACCATAAAATGTTTAACAAATTCACACAAAATTCTGAATCAAGTTGAAGAACTGGATCCATCGGATCTCCAGGTTCCGGTCCCATTGGATGGTTTTACTCTGGTTCTTCAGTTTGAGAACTCTAAATAAAAAAGTTTTGGGACTCACCTGGTCCACATCGTCTCTGCAGCCAGGTGTGACTCAGCTGCAGGGCCAGGGAGGCGTTGGAGCGCTGGTGCTGACCTGCCAGGCCCAGACTCAAAGGACCAGAGTCCATCCGATACTGGTCCAGCTCAGGACACACCCACAGAGGACACTGCAACAACAGAGCGGGGTTACAGGAGTCCAGAACTTTCAGACCCCCACAGAACCTGGACTCACCCCGATCTCTCTGGCCCGGTCTCTGAGGACAGACATGGCATCTTCAGGCTGCCGGACGGTGAAGGCAGGAACCCCGGGCTGAAAAGGTAAACAACAAAAACAAACAGGAAGTTCAAGGTTCTTTATCATCATTTGCATCACATGTGGTACTAGATTGTGTACTCGTCCCAGTTACACCCAAAAATAGCAAAAATATAAAGTATAGAAAGAAACAGTAAATGAGGATCTAAGATATACACTAAACATTGATAATGTAAAATAATAGTATATTAAACAGCAGCCTGAACATGAGTCTGTTGTGAGCAGGTGGGTATGAATACAGCAGCATGGATAAGTCTCAAATCTCCAATTAAAGTGGCATTACTTTTTTTTTTTCTTCTTACAGCTATTATCCTGGTTAGATATACATGAGTGACAGTCTCAGGGTAGAAGCTGTTCCTCAGTCTAGTGGTTCTACACTTAATGCTCCTCAACATTCTGCCTGAGGGGAGCGGGGCAAAGTGTGTGTGCTGGGTGTGTGGGGTCCTTCGTGATGCAGGTGGCCCTCTTCCTGCATCTGGAGGTGTAGATGTCTGTGAAGTTCATGCAAACTATAAAAATAAAAGTCCTTTAGTTTATGTGGAAATATTAAGAAAAATAAAAGTTGATTCTAAAAAATAAAGATTGAACTTTTGAGCTGTGTGTGTGTAGGAGCCAGTCTTGAGGTGCTACATCGTGCTTTTGGCTAAGCTAGCTGGCTGATTCCAGCGCGCCCAAAGCCGAGGATGCATCATCGCTTGATCACCCAACCTAAAGCCAATTCCATCGTGTTCTTTAGTCTTTCAGGACCTCTGGTTTTTATCGGTTTGAGATCTGCTAGCGCTTACTAGTGTTAGCTTAGCATGGCTTCTGGTTTTATCACTTGCTCTGTGTGTCAAATGTTTAGTTACAATACTGCTTCGGTTGACGATAATGGTACATGTAACAAATGCACTGTTATGTTGGTTTTGGAGGAGAGGCTGTCTGAGCTGGAAGCTCGACTGTGCTTTTGAAAAACCATTAACTAGCCAGGCCCCAGTAGGCAGCACAGATCCACTGAGGCTAGCTTACGTTAAACCACAGGCCCGCTGGGCGACGGCCCAAAGTAAGCTTAATGCTAAAACTAAGTCCTCAATTAATCATCGACCCATCCACGTTTCAAATTATGCTTCGAAAAGAGTTTTCTCACACTTTAAATCATGTTTCAAATCAGTTTCCTCCCCTTAGAAGTCTAGTTCCACAAGACCACTTAGGGATGGTCCAAAGAAAGCTTAATGCTAAAACTAAGACCCTGGTTAATCACAGACCCGTTCACATTTCAAATCGGTTTTCCGTGCTTACTGAGACTCCCGCCGAGGAGCAGACCCTGGTTAATGGCAGCTCCATAGTCCGAAATGTGACACTTGCAACTCAGACCAAAGTCAAATGCATTCCAGGGACCACAGCGGGTGACATTGAATCCCATATGAAACTTCTGGCAAATGCTAAGGCTTTATCCAGCAAACAAAATCAAAAATAATTTAATAAAATTAAACAATAAAATTATTCACATTCACAGCTTGACCAACGATGACAGCTGTATGTCAACTTTCAACCGCTGGGCGTCCAGGTGGTGTTCTGAAAACAACGTAGGATTTGTAGACAACTAGTGTGCATTTTGGAGAAAATCTGGTCTGATGTGGAGATGGAATCCATCCCACTTTGAAAGGAGCAGCACTTCTCTCTAAAAACTTAGCTGATTCAGTTGAACATCCAGATTATTGACAACCAAGAGTCCAGTCTTGAATTCAGTCCAGGAAGCAGAGCTGTAGTCCTCCACACCTCTCTGCTGCTTCTCCTCTGTTACCCACCCACACCCACATTGAAACAGTGTCAACTCGCCCACGGCTCAAACTAAATACATCAAAAATCAGCTCTAAACATAAATCAGAAAAATCTTATTAAAATAAACAGTTACTTTACCAGAACAAAATCATAAAATCATTAAATGTGGATTATTGAACATCAGATCTCTTTCCTCTAAATCCCTGTTAGTTAATGAACTGATAACTGATCATCATATTGATTTATTCTGTCTGACGGAAACTTGGCTACAACAGGAGGATTTTGTTCGTATAAATGAATCCACTCCTGTTAATTATTTAAATTTTCATGTTCCTAGAACAACTGGCCAAGGTGGAGGAGTAGCTTCTATTTTTCAGTTGGGACTATTAATTAATAACAGTAACAACAACAACAACAACAACAACAACAACAACAACAACAACAACAACAACAACAACAACAAAGTTAATACTAAACCAATTATTAGTTTTAATACTTTTGAGTCGCTGTCTCCAAGTCCATCCCTTCCAAAATGGAAAACTGAATGGCTACTCTCACTAGATGTTATACATTGTCCAACGGCCGCTTACTCAGTTTTCGTCTGATATCTCAGATCGTTTTATCCGACTTATTATTGAATACTGATAAAGTCATAACAATGGGCGATTTCAATATTCATGGCTTTTATGTATGTGAATATTTCTGTTAAGTGCCCTGAGACAACTTTGTTGTGATTTGGCGCTATATAAATCAATTGAATTGAATGTAGATGTTGAAAGTGATAGTTCAAGCATAGCCTTTAAAATTTTAGTAGAATCAATTGTATTGGGTTACTATACATACGGTATATTATTCATCTTTAATTGATAAGACTAAAAATAACCGTAGGTTTCTGTTCAGAACTATTGCTAAACTAAAGAAAAGTCCCGTCTCTGTTGAACCATGTATCCCTACAACTATAAGCAGTGATGACTTAATGAGATTCTTTATAAATACAATTATTTCAATAAGGGAGATAAATCAAACCAACAGTCCTACTATAGCCTCTGGTTCCCTATCAGACGAGAAAACTTTAATAATGTCAAACCTAATTTATGTTTGGACAGTTTTTGTCCTGTTGAGCTCTCTGAATTGTCAAAAATAATAGTTTCGTCCAAACCATCCACATGTCTGCTAGATCCCATCCCAACCAGACTGTTTAAAGAGGTATTTCCCTTAATTAATATCCACAATTTGGGCCGGCTTAATTTGTCTCTAATGAATGGTTACGTACCAAGGTGCTTTAAGATTGCTGTACTTAAACCTTTACTTAAGAAGCAATCTTGATTCAGGAATCCTGGCTAATAAGACCTATATCTAACATTCATCTAAAAAAAATTCTAGAGAAAATAGTTGCAGGTCAGTTGCGTGAACATCTACAAAGAAATAATCTGAAGAGTTTCAGTCAGGGTTTAGAGCTCATAGCACAGAAACAGCACTAGTAAAAGTTGCTAATGATGTTCTCATGGCCTCAGACAATGAGCTTGTGTCTATACTGATCCTGTTAGACCTCAGTGCTGCATTTGATACAGTTGATCACAATATTTTACTACAGAGGCTTGAATAGGATATTGGGATTGCAGGAACAGCTCTAAAATGGTTTAAATCATTTATCTAATAATTCCAATTTTTAAATGTAAATCAATCTTCTTCACACACCAAAGTTAGTCATGGAGTTCCTCAGGGTTCAATGTTTAGACAAATACTTTTTACTCTATATATGCTTCCACTACGCAAAGTTATTATACATGGGGTAAATTTTCATTGTTATGCTGATGATACACAGTTTTATTGGTCCATGAAACCCAATGAATACAATCAGCTACTTATATTTTCCTAATAGAACACTTCGCTCTTAGACTGCAGGTTTACTTGTGGTTCCTAGAATTTACAAAAACAGAATGGGAGGCAGATCTTTTAGTTATCAGGCTCCTCTCTTCTGGAACCAACTTCCAGTTTCTGCCCATATGGCTGAGATTGGCTCAGCAAGACTTTCCTTTTTGACAAATCCTATACTTAGTCAGCTTGATTTTCTGACCTATTCGATTTCTTATCCTATGCTGTTATAACAGACTACTAGAGGCCAAATTGCACTCATTTCATCACATGAATAGTTTGTATTTGTAATTATTCTTTCCCAACACGTGATTCTGTCTTTCCTCCTAGAGAATGACAAATGGCCTCTGTTCTGGACCTGCCCTTGTGTATTCGTTTGTCCTTCCTGTCCTCGAGCCTGGCCGGTCGGGGCGGATGCTGCTTTTCCTGAGCCGGATTCTTCTGGAGATTTCTTCCTCATGGAGGGAGTTTTTCCTTTCCACTGTTGCATCTGTGCTCGCTTAGGATGGGAGACTGCAACAAGTGAAAACTCGAAGCAATCTACTGGCTCCTTAGATAAATATAGTTATTAACTGATTTTTATGTATATGAATGTTTCTGTTCAGTGCCCTGAGATGTCTTCTGTTGTGAACTGGCACTATATAAATAAACTGAATTGAACTTGTTTCTGTGTGTATTAGTGTGTGACTGTGTGCGTCTCAGGTGTCCTCACCTTGAAGATTCCTCCTTTCTGCCAGGCGATCTTTTCGATGGTGTCTCCGAGGATCTGAGTGTGATCGATGCCCAGAGAGGAGACACCACAGACCCATGGCCTCCTGGAGACAAACAATAAACAACAACGAACAGCACTTCCTGTTCCAGGTTTATCTGAGGCATAACGGGGAGATAAAGTGAACTTTACTCTTCTGAACAAACAAACACTGAAACTATTTAGACTTCATGAACCAAACTGAACTTTGATCTTCACCTTGTTTACATGGTTTTATTTTCATTTAGTTTAGCTTCCAGGTTTAATCCCCCAATATAAACCTCACCGTATGATGTTGGTGCAGTCGTACTCTCCTCCAATCCCCACCTCTATCACCGCTAAATCCACCTGATCAGAAACAACAGCTGATCAGTCCTGATCTGGACTCCAGGTCTGGATCCTGAGCTGGTCTTCAGCTCCTGGACTCCAGCCGCGGACCTACCTTCTCATTCAGGAAGACATGAAAGGCCAGGATGGTGAGGAAGCGAAAATACGCCGGCATGGTCCCCCCGTGGGCCTCCTTGGTCTCGTCCAGCCGTCCATAGACCTGCCAGAAGTATTTGGTGAAGAGGTCTTTGCTGATGCGCTGCCCGTTGATCCGGATCCGCTCCCTGACCTGGACCAGGTGTGGAGAACTGTACAAACGGGAAGAAGTAATCACCGAACCGCCATAAGGTTTTCATCAACTTCTGAGGTTAGCCCAATTCAAGATGGCCGCCACAGCTAATTGAAGCTAGCCACCAGACATCTGGCTCCAACTAGCTTCTGCAGATACCGACAGTGAACCTGGTGTGGTAGTAGCAGAGTCCTTCACGATGCACCGACAGACTGAGCAGTGAGGCAGCGGGCAACAATCATTCCCTGCTCCTCGTATTTCACATTTTGATTTTAGCAATTTATTTCAGCTGCACAGCCAAAACTGAACTTCATGTCTGAACAGGAAGTAAACTGATTTTTACTAGTTACTTTAATAACTGAGGGGGAAAAAAAATTTGGTTCATTTTTTTTCTTTAATCTTATAAATTTAAGTGTTTCTGGCCGGTCGCCCTCAGATCATCTGCTGTTGGAAATATGTTGCAGCCGGCACCAACACACTTCCAGAGGTACGAACAGATGAAAAGGATTGTGGGTAATGTGCCGTTTCCAGTTTTCAGATGGTTAACATGGTTTTGGTCCGGTGTGATGAACGTCCTCAGCAGCTGGACTTTCAGAGGACGTTTGGTTTGTGGATTACGATCCTCAAGACTTTCTCCAGCTATGCCACTGCCACAGACCACAAAGACCAGAGGCCACCAGGACTCCACTGGCCTCTCTGCAGAGGAGCCTGTATTTTGCGCTGCTACCTTAGTGATGTGTCCGTGCCGGGTGGGGGTGGGAGGGGCAAGTTCAGTTTGGTAGGCGGGGTGCTCAGTTCTGTTGACATGGTAAGGCACCACGCCTGTATAATGGTAGGGGGAACACTGGGGCAGCTATGCAAGCGCCTGGTGAGCAGAGTAGGGATGTGCGATATGGCATAAAATTAATCACGATATGTATCGTGATGGGCGGCAGTAACGATATACAATCATATGTTTTTGGTATTAAACTTGCAACAGGAATGAAAAAGAAAGCATAGAGTGTCCTTTTGCCATCATTTATTTTGAAATCTCCTATACCACAAAATAATGTAAATTAAGAAAATTCCACTACTAGTTCCAGAGAGTTTTTAAATTACAAATCAAGTATTAGGCTTCTTTCTTGTAGTGCAAAAGATATCAAATATATCAAACTCTGATTTGACATCAGACACAGCATTACTGCAGTTAGCCGGTACAATACAGATCTCTATCGTAGGTTAAACGTCTATCGTTTCTACCGTGTACTGTATACAACATGCATTCCTACTGTAAAGTCAGTGCGATTGACAGGTCTACCTGTAGAATCCGGTTCTGAAGCCATAATTCCTCAGGATCTGTTCGGTGAAGGCACACGTCGAGCCCTGAAACACAAGCCCAGCCGTCACAGCACTCATCTTTCTGTGAGCGCGCACGTTAAAAACTGACATGCGAGGATGTTAACCTGCAGCTGGTTCTGTATCCTGACCGGTCTGAGGCCAGAACCTGCTCACCTTGCCCTTTGTCCCCGTGACATGGATGATGTTCAGATGGTCCAGCTCCTCCACCTTAAAAACACAGAGGACACTCAGAACCACGGTCCACTCTGTAGTCCCTGAAAGGTTCTAACTCACTGTGAGTCCGGCTCGCTCCAGAAACCCCCTCATGGCCTGCATCTGCAGCTGAGGCTGGCCTCTCTCCCGCCGGACCTGCTCCAGAGCGCTGGCGTTGGTCTGCAGCGTGTTCAGGGTGCAGACGGCATCCTGATGCACATTTAAGGTCACGTTATTTTAAATTCAAGTCTGACTCAGAAACAAAGAGCAGCAGATATGGACCAGTTTAGCGTCTAAATTTTGAGCAAAACTGACTCAGAGTCTCACGGGAGGACATTCAGAACATCATGTGGACATCTGGAGGACACAAATGTTTTCCGCCATCCGGACATGATGCCATTTTAATTTTTTACTGCATGATGAATTGCAGATGCTCCTAAAAGACTTGTTTCTTCAAGAATTTAAGATTTTATAAAAGACTATTTGGATATAAAACAACAATTTTTACTTTATTTTATCAAAATCATTTAAAAAGATAACAAAAGTTCAGTTTTAGGGGCAGAGAAAGACGATTTGAGGGGCTTAATGTGAAAAGTCCTCCTGACTGGACTGGTTAATGATGGGAGTTGTAGTTTTGTGTAACATCGTAAGAACTACAAACAAATGAAAAGTCACAGGAACAAGTTGAAAACCTGAGAACCTGCATCCTGAGGTCTGTTTCACACCAGCTGTTTTTATTCAGCATTTAAGTTTAATTTGAAATATATATTTTTAACTGCCAGTTGTTCATAAACAAAGTTTGTTTTTATGTTTTTGAAGTTCTACTAATTAAGCCAAAGCTTCTCACGAGGACACAACTGTTAAGTGGGGCCTGAATGTTTTAGATTAGTGGTGGCACGGCTTCCTAAATCAATTAAGTAAAACTCAACAAAGTTAAAGGCTTAACAAAACTGAGGAAACATTAAGAGTCATTTCACCGTCTGCTTTATGTTATTATTCCAACTTTATGTTACCAGGAACAAAATCTGTCTCTGAACAATTAGACCTTTATTTAGTAAAACGGATCAATCAGAAACTTAAAAATATTTGAGTATTTTCTGAAGCCATGAGGGACAGCTTCAGGAGTTGAACTCTATGTGTCGCTTCCATGAACTTTTAATTTGTTCAACCTCCTCACGTGCTGAAAGTTAAAACAAACATAGGAACGTGTTAGAAGTTCACTTCAGTCTGGGTCAAACCAAACCGGTACCTTACTGAAACTGGTCCGCTGACTCCACAGTCAACATTAAAGTCAGGTGAAACGGATCGTCGCTGTCAGCCATGTTTTTATCCACTTTCCACCGTTTATTGACGGAACTCCGCAAACAGACGCGGACTTTTTTGGAGCTAGCTAGCTCAGAATGGCAGCCGTGTTGAGGCGGACAAAGTCCGGCTTACCTGGTACTCCATCCCGTTTATGTGTGGAGCAGTCTTGGTGCTGTTGTAGCGGACCAACAGAGCTGACAACCCGAACACGGTGTCCCGCTCTCTGAATAGAGCGGCAAACTTGGAGCCGTGCTGCGGCATGTGCCACAGACACGCCATGATGGGGCGTTAAAAACTCACCGGAAGCTGCAACCAAATATGGGCGGGTCGCTCTCTCTGCGTGATGACGTAGTTCACGCCTATATCTGGCGTGCGGACTCCAGCAAAACGACTACGTCATAGACATTTACAGGATATGTGTATATGTGTACATATTATTGTGTACAGTATATGTGTATTTGTATGTATACATTTAAATATATAATATTATCTATCTATCTATCTATCTATCTATCTATCTATCTATCTATCTATCTATCTATCTATCCATCCATCCATCCATCCATCCATCCATCCATCCATCCATCCATCCATCCATCCATCCATCCATCCATCCATCCATCCATCCATCCATCCATCCATCCATCCATCCATCCATCTATCTATCTATCTATCTATCTATCTATCTATCTATCTATCTATC